GTCAGCCATGAAGTCATATTGAACATAAAAAATATACAAACTAAGAAAAAGTCTAAAAAAACTTTCACCTAAGTTATATGAGCCATTACACATTATAGAAAAAATAAGGCAATCACATGTTGAAATTATACATCTCCAATTAATAGAACATTGATCCTGTCTTTCTTGTATCACTTTTTCAACTATACTGGTAGTCCGTCCACCTGGACCAAAGACCAGCTCACCAGGAACTGGAAGATATCAAAGAGAACTTGCAAAAGGAGGTTGAGAAAATTGTATGCTGTGAGATATGTACATACTAATAAAGGATTAACAACCACTATTGACAAATATGTGAGTCATTGTACTTTGTTAAATGGCAAGGATGTGTGGAGGATGAAAATACTTGAAACCCTGCCATAGGTATGAAAAATATAGAAGAAGTAGTAGAGAGGTTGTACAGAGATAAGCCAGACATACCAGGATGGGCAGAAGTAAGGTGATCAGGAAGAGGTTTTCCTACTATAGTTAAGCAAATAAAGAAGGTTTTTGACATTGACCACATCAGGTCCTAGATACATATTTTAATGTTAATTTTTTATTTTTTATACTTCATGTTGCATGTTAATATTTTACTATTATACCTGAAAGAAAGAGTGTTTCAGATGAAATCTTGTAGGAGGAAGCTCAAGTTAGGCATATGAGAGCACACAGACCCCTTAATAGGATAATTATGCACAAACTCTCATTTATCAGAGCAGCCAACACTCCTTTCCAGTTCTCTAATAAGACCAAAAAGTTTTTTACAAGATAGCAAAAGGTTGCATGCTATGACTATAATGTTATTTTAATGCAATCTACTTCATAATAACATGTAAGTCACTATAGTCCATTATACTGAAAGCAGTTTACAGGCTACAAGAAAGATAACCTCTGAGTATATCTGGGAAGTAGAACAGAGGAAATCTGTCAGAGGCGCATTGAGTTACTGGGCTTCCAAATTAGGCATCCTAATTATGGGCTGAAAGTAACTGGTTATTTTCATCGCCATAATCCACAAATACTTTTACAGTATCCCCAAGGCCAGAGGATATAGAAATAATACCATTACCTATCTGAAGGCTGCTGGATATTGGTAGGTCCTGAAAACAGGATCCCTCCAGAAGTGACTCTCTTCAAGGTAAGGTGGACTAAGAGGAAGCTGCTTAGACTTAGAAGACCAGATAGTTGGTAGACATAAAGTCTTTGCATGCTGTCTACCAAGCCTGCATTATACACAGGTGCCTGACACATAAGCTGACCACTTTTTATATTCAGAAGAGACTACTGGAATGATAGTCAAGTGGACTAAAGTTTTAGAAGAAAGTCTTTTCAACTATATAAATCAGAGACTATCAGTTGGAAGCTAGAAGTGCATTGTCCGATAGTGAAGATTGTATTGTCAAAGAGTATAAAGAATTCATAGTCAAATGGTTTCACCCTTGTTAAGATCAAGGACTATTGCGCACAGATTGGAGAAAAGTACTTAGTTGTATATTAGTTTGAAATATTCTGCAAACACTCAGATGCAATATATAAATATCGAAGTATCTCCCAAGCTTTACAGACATCATTAATAGTTATTTATTGGTATAAACCTTTATAGTAATAATATTTGTTGTACATTCAGCTAATATGCTAAGATAAATCTTAATAAGTTGAAAGCAATTGGTGTTGTCAAGATAAATAGAAAATTGTTTTTTATAAAAAGCTTTAAGTACATATATAGTTTGTCTTACCTGAAAATCTTGGAAGTGGCTCTTTACTCAAGGTATTTTACAGTTATAAGAAGGTATCTGCTTGGGATTAGCAAGTTTTCCAAATACTAATAGCAACTTTATATTTTTTTTCAGTTTATGTTAGGTAAATAGTCAATTTTACCTGCTTTCAGCCTCTAGTAACTCCTCTACTTATTATATCACACCTTCTCCTTCTTAGATCCTGAGGGCAGTCCCAGAATCCTCTTTGTATATATCTTTCTCTAGTTATAATTTTATTAGTATATATCAACCCTGCATTTTTCTACTTGTGCTGTAATACAACTGTTTTTTCTTCTTTTTTTTTTGCACCAATATTGTGCATTGATAAAATTAACTGCAATTCAACAATCAGTGGCAACCTACCTCTCTTCATCACCCTACACTCTCAACAGTACCTAAAGAAATTACTCTAAGTTAACCAAGAAGAAATCATTCTGCTCAATTTTTTTTTTTCAATAAACTTTGCCTCCTATTTTTACAGTTATGCCAAGTAACCTATTCTCTTCACACATCTCTCAGAGTTTACCAGGGGGAGAATTCTCAGGTTACATGAGGCTCAGATGAGATATCAGCAAATTTTCCACTACCTAAATATCTCCTACACTACTGTCGGAGACACAATTGCAAAAGGACATCTAAAGAGCAAGGAGAATAAGGGTAGAGGAAGACATCCTAAAATTACCAAGTCACAGAATAATGCTATGGTAGAGGAAGCTCCTAAAAATTACCATACTATTTATTCCGACATTGCTGAGCAAGTTGCTCCCAATGTTTCTTGTAGGACAGTAAGGAAAAAACTTGAAAAAAAGCATCTTATAAAGTGGATAGCATAAGAGAGAGTTCATTTAAATGAGGATCTAGCTCAAGAGAGGTTGGAATGGGCATTAGCTCATACGTATTGGATAAAGGAGATATGGTGAAGGAAGACAATGTGAAGAAATAAGGTAGCAGTAGAAAGCAGAGGAGAAAAGAGGAGAAAATGGGTTTTCAGATACCCATATGAGAAATGGAATAAGAATTGTATTGAACTTAAGGCTAAGTGAGAAGAGAGAGGGATTAGCCAAATGATGACTGGTTGTTTTTATAGTTAAACTTATGGTCTTTTTTTGCCTATTTTTCCTGATCCTTCTTCTGCTAGGAGTGGAGTTACTGAAAAGTCAATTATTGATATTTATGATCATTATGACTTTCTAGGGATATGGGAGAATATCAGAGAAAAGGCTGGAGAAGAAGAGGTATTTTTTATCATTGACAATGTTAAGACTCACTTGCCTTTTAGGAGATGGCTTAGAGGACAGGGAATTAAACTGATGGAAATTCCTGCCTATTCACCAGATCTCAATCCAATTGAAAATATTTGGTCTCTGGTGAAAGGTAAGTTTCACAAGCACAACCCTGAGCTATATCCTATAAAGAGTGATGTCAATGTGGTCAAGAAGGCAATAGTTGAGGCCATCACTCATTGTTGGGAACTTCTTGATCCAAAAGTTTTTGATACTTTAGCTGGATCAATGGTGGATAGAATAGAGGCAATTATTAAGGCTGATGGATGGTATACCAAATATTAATTTCTACTATGTATTTACATCTTTTAATTTTTTTTTTGGTTTTCATGATAGTGGATTGGTGGGTGAGTGTGGTTGTCATCGCCGAAGATTTTCCTCTGATGAATCGCGGTTAATTTTGTCCACGCATAATAAATATCCCACAAACAGGAATAGGAACTGCCCTCTACTGAGACTACATTTAAATTCTCCTCTTTATCACCTTTGACTTGATATACTTTTCAGGTCTCTGATATCAATATTGGGCAACCTACTCAATAAGAACGAGGGTTGACATTGTAGTTGTTGGCAGTCCCACTTGGCGGTGCTGTGCAATACGTTACCACTCCTCACAGCATCCTAATATAATACCATACAAACCAGCCCCGCATTAAATACCCACAATCATATATAGCCACCCGCCAACTTCGACAATCAGACTGTTGGGTGAGCTACTGCATATCTGGTATGATAGGGAGTCTGTTTGGAATGATTACTAGACTACGACAAGATGTCCAGTGACAAGCTGTATTCGTCACAAGTTGTCACTAGTGAGTTTCCTTCCCAGACCTTCCCGCGCTGTGGAAAACAAGTCCGTGCGGTGACGGGAGGTGTAAGCTTCACATAAATTTAGCTTGCGGGCCGCCCCATCGAGGGATAAAGGCATCACCCGGAGGCATCATCTGGATGAACCCTCCATACCCATTCTTCCCATAGCAGAACTAAGTGACCCGGATCCCGTTAATGTGAATCCCCGAAGAACCGGGGGCAAGCACATATTTCCTATCCTTGTCGTATGTAGGTGATTCCCACTATGGAATATCATACCCGGGATGATTCCTCCTCGACACCCGTCAGTCCTACTTGGAAACAACGGTTTCTAGGGTTGATGAAACCGTGGTATATTGAAAGGAAGCAGGATACACATAACGGCTGGTGCGATCCCCAGCTTAGCAACCTCATCGTGGGGGGCATCGGCGAATACCAATGCTGCGGAGGTTAATACACCACCATGCGAAGTATAGGCAAGTACTGTACTGTACTGTACGAGCACAGCACTCACACATCGGTTTAAGCTAGGGACGTAACCTCCTCATAGCGAGGCAGAATGTCCCAGCCAAATCCCAAAGAAATAGCGGGGGACAAAACAGACTTCATCCATAAAGTTTCCCGCGTTTTGTAGGCTGAGTTCGAGTACGATACCCTATCGTACCAAATTACCTTTTTCCGAATACTCCAACTTGAACCACTCACAGCAAATCACACCAGTGGCATCGCAGTGCCACAACCGCATCTAGATAGAAACACATGTGGTCATGCCAACTCCGTGGTGGCAATACCGCGAGCTATTATTCAAGTATGACAGACAAAATAAGCGGAAGCTTGCATCAACGACATCCATCAATCCCCAATGGCCCGCAAATAGCGCCAAAGAAGTATAGGTATTTCGTGTTAACTACAACTGCCCATACCCCCACAAGTAAGTGAGTAATTATTAGATACTAAATGCTATACTCGAGTAGACTAACTAGACCTTCGAAGAGAGCTAGCTAACCCGGGACCCATGTGGTGCTTAAGCTGTAGTGCTTGCTTGCAGAGGAAACAGTCTACAAACCTACTGCATCGCAGGCATGGTATAAAACAAGGCTTCGTCTTTGATACCCCACATAGCCCAAATCTAGATACTTAACGGAGAGATGCCCCCCTTTGCCAACAGCCGTTCGAGGGGTGCGTCCTCTGCGGCCGGCCACCCCTCCGGCTCATGGAAGTCTTCCTCAGCATTTTCAGTTATTGTTGCAAGAGCTTCCGCCCCCTCCCCCCGAGGAGCACTCGTACTTGCACTCCCCGCCACCTCAATCGCCTCCCTGCGATCCCTAACCCCCAACCCCTTCCCTTCCAATCCCAACCACTCCAACTCCCTCCCAATCCCATCTTGGAAGTCTCTGCGAATAGACTCCTCCTCCTCCTCGGCTCCCTTGGTCGCCATCACTTCTCTCAACTCAATATCCCTCTTCCACCTCTCCAACTTCTCTAATTCCAACCTCAATTTCTCCTCTTTCGCTGCGCGCCTATCTAGCAATGTCTGGATATTATTATCCACCACAACCTTGATCTCATCTATCTCCCGTAATCTCCCTTCCACTTCCTCATCGTCCAAGATCTCCGCCATGGCACGAGCATCTTCTATGAGGCTTTGTATCTCCAGCCCTGAAACAGAGACTCTATGTACCGCGGCGTGACGGATTTCTCCACCTTTTTTGAGAATCAAGTCGAATTCGTCCTCGCCCATGTCGAAGACGGGGTTCGAAGAGAATTCCTTCGAAAGGCCACGGATCCATGCAGTTAACTCACCGGCTTCAGGACAATCCCAGGACTTTCGCCTTAGGTACTGCGGGTAGTACCGGCGTGCGAAATCGTAGCAACAAGACTCTAGGATCGCCTGGAGCGCCGTGAAGATTCGGTACTGTAGCTTGAACGGTAGGGACGGGATCACGGAGTCGGCAGTGACGGTGGAGGGCGCTGTTCGTGTGGTGGATGCGTTGGCGGAGGTAGAGAGTATTGACGGACTTCTGTTAGGCGATCAACAAATTGTTTTCCTTTCTTTTCTTTCTCCAACGTCTCCTCCCGTTGGCTTGGGTTTTGTATTTTTATTTATCTATATTTTTTATATTGTGATTATGGTGATAAGAGTCGCCAGTGAATTGCTGATGACACGTGTTATGGGCTAAAGTGTGTGTGTGTGTGTGCGAAAACGAAACAGAAATTTTATGAAAAATAAATTGAATAATATAGTACCTTGGTAATGCAGTTGTACGAGTACTCTCTCCTAAAGAGGGGACGGCACTGTCGTTCGTTGGAGTCTTCAAGATTCGAACTCCAGCTGCTGCCGCCCTCTTGTACCCCTCCAAAATTTCGTCACTGACCTCCAGCTCCGGAGAGCGGCACTCACTCGGCTTCTTCTTGGGTGCCAGTCCTCCAGCGGAAGGAGGCACGCCTACCGGCATTGCGGTCCTATAACTTGACATGTGAAGCGGTGCTTTTGTGCGTTCTTCATTATCCATCGCACGCTGCTTGCCCTTATCTAGGACACGAGACTGTCCTCCTCTTACCTCCCTCGACGGCATTTCCTGCCCAACAGCAGCACCGGCAGAAGCAGCGCGCCCATTGCTAGCAATCCCCCCGGTACCGAGATTCCCAGCGGCCGCCCCCGAAGCCACCCGCCTGGCATCGCACTCCCTCACAAGCTCAGATGTCAAGCGCTCGGCCATCATCGCCTTAAGCCTTATCCTCACTTTCTCAGGCGTGTATCCCCGTGCGCCGAATTCCGCCGGTATGCTACTGCATATGGCCTCCTTCAAAGCCTTCTTTCCAATGAAGCCTTTGGTCATATCGCTGTAAGCGATCTTGAACGATTGTCGACGGATCCATTCGTCGAGGGGGTTGATGTCCCCTGGTGACATCGTTCTGGTTGCTTATAAATATTTAAACTTCACTCGTCCGAAGTGGCAGGAGCCGTATGTAACTTTATAATTGATGGTATGTGGTTCCTGTAATGGGGATTGGAGAGAAAAGAGGAAGTTCTGATTCTTAAGATGAGGTGCCGCCTAGCTCTGTTGTACAACAGGAAAGGGCATCGTTTATTGTGATGATTGATGGTGCTGAAGTTTGAGCTTCTGACAACCCGCCCGCAAGACCCCATTGCCCCCCATGCGTTCATGCAAGCTTTTGAAAAGCGGGTGTGCTTGAGAGCGCCCGGATTGCATGGTTGTAGCAGATTTGTCGCTCTGATTCGGCAGTGGAGCTAAGTGCTGAAACTTGTCCACTCAAACCCCAATAAGTCCGGATGTTGAATAATAGCATAGGATCTAAGAAACGAAAAAGGAAATACCCGCAGCATTCGAATCGGGAACCTTCGACTTTTCGTTTTTTTATTTTTTTTATCATGAGATTTTTCAAATATGTTCTGTTTTGAATTTGGGAAAATTATCACAAAAACGCGCACTATAAAGCCCGGAAAAGAGTGAAAGAAAAAAATATGAAAGAATAGAGGAGAAAAAAAAAAAAAGGAAATCCTCAACCGCATGATCATAATTTCACTCCCTCGAGGAGTGAGCTACATTAGAGCGTGGTAACGGAAAGACCTGTGCGAATGCGAAAAAAAAAAGATAGGCCTTAAATAAATGCCTTTTCCAAAGCCTCAACGGAAGTGAACTACCATTCCCTAACAGCCCCGTCGGGTCCATGGAATTCAAGGCATCTCCAGGCCTTGCAATCCTTACTGACTCTCCTAACCTCGGCCTCATCCACTTCGATACCAATTCCGACACCGGTAGGTACTTTCACATAGCCCTCATTGACTTCAAAGACGGTGGTATCCTTGACGTAGTTATTGAGATCGTATGTTCCGGCACCTGGAGGTGTCATCTTGTTGTAGTGAATACCCAAAGACATCTCCTGGATGACAAAATTAGGTGTGGAAAGCGCAACCTGGATAGACGCAGCAAGTGCAATAGGGCCAAGTGGGCAGTGAGGAGCAAGCCCAACATCATACGCTTCGCACATGGCTGCAATCCTCCTGATCTCGGAGACACCTCCGCAGTGGGAAATGTCAGGTTGGAGAATATCAATAGATGAAGCCTCAAGGAACTGCTTGATATCCCATCGGTGATAGAGACGCTCACCAAGCGCAATGGGAATAGTTGTCTGCTGGGAAAAGTGCTTAATGGCCTCAGGATGCTCAGAGAGGAGTGGCTCCTCAATAAATAGTGGCTGGTGGGGCTCTAGAAGTTTAGCAAGCTGCTTAGCCATAGGCTTGTGAATACGGCCATGGAAGTCAAGCCCGGCATCAAGGCCGACAGCCTTGACCGCCTTCAGCCTCTCAACGGAGCTCTGCAACGCAGATGGCGAATCCAGCCAACCCAGATCTCCGGTAGCATTCATCTTAACCGTGGTGAAGCCTTGCGCCTTTCTTTGTTTACTACCGGTATGCAAATACAAGTATATATTAGCAGGGCACACGGAAAAAGTATATAGCCGAATGCAAGTACAATAGATAACTTACGCTTGCTCCTCCACATCGCTCGGACGATCGCCGCCAATCCAGGCATAGACAGCAACCCTGCTCCTAACTTTCCCCCCGAGTAAGGAATAAAGCGGAACCTTGAGTTTTCGCGCTGCAGAAGAAAGACGATAGTCAGTCACCAGTGATCACTAGCGAAGATACTTTAAGCACCCGCAGCGCCCGCAAACCCTCGCCAGCGAATGATCCGAAAGTTTTAACCCGGGATTCAGCCTCATGGCAAGCTTAACCCTTGCACCCGAAATCTGACTGAGGATTGTCCAGCCGAAATTAAGGCATCATGCAGAATGGTGAAATGAACGTCAGGCAATATCTCCAGATGACGACAGGCACATGACCGCGCCCCATAACCACCAACGAGGAAGAAAAAGGCTTTATCACATACCTTTAAGATCCCATAATGCAATATCAATGCCGGAAATTGCTGACATAAAAACGGCTCCACCCCGATAAAACCCCAGTCTCCAGGCAGTCTGCCAGATATGCTCAATGTCACTATACCGAGGTTACAAATCAGTTCCAATGCACCAAACAAGCAGCCGGGCAGGGCGCCCAAGCCACAAGGAAGAGTTAGGGGAAGAGTGGCCCCGGGACAAGTGGAATTGAACAACATACTCTGCCTCATATCCAACAAATCTACCAATCAATTCATCCAAACTCCCTTCGATAGCTTCAGTATGCCCTTCAAGTGTGGACTCTCCCCATCCATATTGACCATCCTCGCTGGCAACTTTTACAAAAAGCCAGCGAGGTAACACGCGGAAATATTCAATAGATGTGATTTTAGCCATGGCTTGGATCGAGGACGAGTAGACTCGGATTGTCCTGAATCTGAAGGAAAAATGCTGACGGCCAGGCGATTTCAGATATCACAAAGTCGTTTCTTGGAGCGCAAAATATGAGCGTGTAACTCTATGAAGGAAAGAGATAAGGACGGAGAGCTTGATATGAAGAGCAGGATAGACATCATCTGTGTGAACTCATCCAGAGCTTTTATACTCGTGAATGGCAGTACGATCAGAAAGATTATTTGAAGCCCCTGCCATCAAATAATCGTACAGACATAATCTCGCGGAGACTGAAAAAAAATCCGATTCTTAGTGCCTATCCAGGTACCACGGAGCGGTAGCTAAAGCCAGTGAGATCTCCTACTAGTTAGACCACTCGAAAACAGTCAACTGCCTATCCAATTCCTTGTTTAATTGGAAAGTGAATCTGTTCGATGGAGTACCTGATGGATAGATTGAAAAATTGGAGCGATCCAAACCTGGAGGTTTATGCATGCTAATGCAACGGCATCAGGCGATAGTGCTCTGATAGCGTCTAGCTTGTGAAATTTGATAAAACGTGCCCGATTCTAGAGAATCCGAGAGGGGCGATATGACAGGATAGGCGGGGATGGCACGGTTAAGGGCTGAGCATATCTCTTTTGGTATCCATCATGATAACTGATCCTTTGGTTGTGATGCGTGTCCTGCTTTGAAAAGAGTCCGGAATCAACCACTACCAATTGACTGATACCGGTAGATATCTTTAGATTTGGCAGCTCGGTCTGAAGCCCCTATCTTGCCCAAGGCACGGAATCTTCATGATTCGGGTTCCAATATATCTAGGATGATGATGAAGAACATCCGATTTCTTCGGCTCTCCTTCAGCCTGTCCTTCCTTCCTTCTTTCCTTCCTTTTTTTTTTTTTCTTCTTTCCTTTTTTTCCTCCTTCTCATTTTACTCCCCTTTTGTCCACAGTCCCCTCGGAAGGAGAAAACGTGCAGAATGCCGAAAAACCTAAATGGTGTGCGTCATGCATGCACCGGAAAATAAAGCGGTCACCATTTTCGAGGCACAGCACAGCACAGAAATCCACTAGCTAATGCATCAATCCAGACGAGATCAACTCCCGAAGCAACGAGAAACCACCGCGAACCACAATTCACCCCGTATTAAAGCTAGAACAGGGATGGAAAGTGTCTGTACTTTTTCTCCTACTGGGGCCTGATGAGAACAAGAGTTAGAAATGCCGTTCACTCTCCGAGATACGCCGAAGTGCATCCGATAGAGTACAGTACAGTACTGTACATCACCTTTTGTTCCTAAAATCCTGAGGTTGCCACGGAGCATATCGATGTTTCTCGCAAATCCACAAATGGGATTGTCCACTCAGATCTACAAAATATCAGCCGAAGAGTAGAGAGAGAAAGTTGTGATATATTGATACTTGGGACGTGGCAGAGAGAGCGGTCACAAAAATGAAACTTCAGCCAAACATTCTAAACTGGCTTAGTTGATCAACTTGTAGAAATGTAAATATTGATTCGAGGATCCTCGTTGAAGAGAGATTCGGAGATAACAAACAGGACCACATGATGAAGAAACGAAACTTGGAGCTAGAAAGAGCGTCAAGTAATGGTTGATGAATGAGAATGGGAAGGGGTGAAGGTTCCCCCCGAAATAGACCAACAGGCAGACAGCGAAGAGGGGATGTTTGAATTGAGTTATCATGTGGGTGATAACCACCGACAGAGCCACTTCCTAGTCAC